TATATATATATATATATATATATATATATATATTTTCCGCATGTGTGTAATGTAATGGACAGATAATACCAGAAGCAGAGCCTGCAAATATTCAGCTACAAGCCAAGAGACACCAAGAACACAGGAGCCACAGAAGCTGGGGGAGCCATACAATTGTAAACAGACAATTATAAACAAAAATTTTCCAAATTTCATTATAAAATTTAGCCTTGAGTCAGACAATAATAACCTCTTCTCCTTGCTCACATTATATTTTACTCAATTTGTTTGTCTAAGAGTTGTGACAAATTAAGATTACTTCCTCTATATGAGGGTAAAAGCTTTGTACCAATTTTTGTGGAGGAGAACTAAGACCTTCTTTGCCCAGATAGGTTATCTTTGGGAGGATATGACTATATCTGGATTAAATATTTATTTTTCAATTATCTTTATTTTTTTCTTCTCAACCTCATACAATTGCTTTCGAGGGTCCTTGAGTCTCTCAGAAGCACAATGGGAATAGAAATTCTAAAGTTCAAGTGACTAGGGCCTGAAATTGAAGGAAAAAGTTCTGGCAGGACAGAGGAATGGAGGAAAAAGAGGTTTGAAGAGAAAAGTATCAAATAATTCAAGGAACTGAAGGAAGATTAAAGGAGTTAAAATGAGGAAGAAGTAGATGGGGCAGTAAGAAGGAAGAGAGTTTAGAGGATCCAGTTGGGGGAGACCTTCTGTTCCCCTAAGAACAGCTGAAGTTCCCCTTTATCCTCAGAAAAATCATTTCGAGAAGAAAGGAGTGAACAGAGTTGGTGGTGTATGTAGTCAGCAGGGGTTTGAGAAAGGGGTTTTAGTTGACTGAGAAGTTACCACAGGAGAAAGAGGATCAAAAAGAGAGAACAGAGAGACCACATAGAGAGATGGGCAATTTTCTAGGCTGGGAAATGAGGAAGCAACTTGCCACTTGAAAGAAAAGAGCCAGGAAGACAGACTTCCAACCCAGCAGGTACCTTTCAAACTAATGTACTCCAACCCAACTTCTTATAACTGACAACCCTAGGACTATAACAACCTGGTTTGCTGTGGCTCTAACATGGCTCATATAGAGTACTCTGAATCTTAAGAATCAAAATCTGTTCTTACTGTTCCTTAACAGACTGTCATCAGAAGAACTGGCTCAGAAGTGGAAACCATCAATGGATCCCCCGTCAATCCGCCAGGAGTAAAGGTAAAGGATCTAAAGTTTGTACTTGGGGTCCTGTGTGAGAAGTCCAGGGATCCAACAACAGATCCTATTTAAGTCACAGCACCAAAATTGTTTAAGAAAACAATATTGATGATAGTTGCCATGAATTTCAATATGTCAGGGTAGACTATCCAAGGGCCTTGGGATTTTGCTGTCCAGGAGAAAAACTCTGAATATAACTCCTGGTACTTCCATTTCTCCATTTAACCTTTCTAAACTTCCCTTCAGCTCCTTTAAATCATTTGATGTTAATTTGTTCAAGCGCCTCATTGCCCCATTCCTCTATTCTGCTAGAACCTTTTCCTTTCTACTCTAGCCCCTCTGTCACTTGGATTTTAGAATTTCAACTCCCATTGTGGCTTCTGAGACAATCTGAACATAACAAGGGAAAGTACGAGTTTATTACCAAGGATCAGGATGTGAATCAATGGATGGAAGATGACTAACAAGGCAATTGATAAAGGAACCTAACAAATTCTGAAGACAGGCTGGAATGATCAGATAATGCCTGGAGGCTGATGGTGGATGATGAACTTAATTAAATAGTGAAGACCATCAAATATGGAGGCAGGGATGGGGGCATTTTGAATGAACGGACTAGACAGGATTCTTGCTAAACTTACCCCTGCAGACATGAGAAAGGATGGGAGCTAGTAGGGATAGAGACATCTGACTAAAGTTGGCTAAAAAGAAAAATTTAACACAAAGACACAGCAGCACTCTAAAAAAACAATGAAAATGCATCAGTATAACAATATCTTAGATTAACAGCTGAGTGAACAATATATGTTTAAGAAAAAAAATAAAATATTTTCATTTATAATATCATTTAGCAGGGAGAACTCATCTCACTGTTCTGTGAAAAGAACCTAACTGCCCTATTTTGCTAAAAGATATGGAACAGTATTCATTCATCTTTTATGCACCAAAATTTGCCTGATAAGATTGTTAGCACACAATCCTGCAGCAGGTATGTAAACAAAAAGGACTGGAGGGAAGCAGATGATATAAAAATGAACTTACTGTATCCAAACCTAATAATGAAAGGTATAACAATTATGAGTCAGATAAGGTTGTCTTCTCTTCAACAAAATTAAGGGCCATCAAATTCTTATTGTGTTGAGTATAATAAGTGTAAGAAGAATCCAGGGTAATGGTAAACAAGAACCTACTGGAAAATTTCAATAATGTTTGTGTTAGCTGTCTTTAAATTCTTACTAATATTTCTAATAAAGTTTTCACTATCATTTTCTATTTGAATAAATTATTCATAAGATGACCTAAAATATCATAAAATAAAAATGCTTTGCTAGATCCATAGAGAAGGAATTATTTATTCCTCTTCTAGTATCTGTAAGATTTTGTGTAACATTTGTATTATTGTTTTCCCTTAAAAATATTTGGGGGAATTTATTCATGAAACCATATGGACATGGAGTTTTGGAGGTGTTTTTTACTATAATTACAATTTATTGAATAGATATAGGATTATTATATTTCCTCAATAGACTCTGATGATTTCTGTATTTCAAGGAAGTTACCTTGTTACCATTTTTATTTTTCAAAATACTCCTATGTTGTTTAATATCTGTAGAATTTTTGATGATAATTGTTTTATTCCTGATATTAGTAATTGACTCCTCTAGTTTTATTGTTGCTTGTCTTAGTCTTTGACTTTAAGTTTTATTTATTTATTTATTTATTTATTTATTTATTTATTTATTTATTTACTTTTTACTTACCTTTGGCCTAATTTCCTTTTTTGAAAGCTTACATTGGGATTAGTTTGCACTTGTTTTTCACATTTCTTGAGAAATGAGAAATTCTGGTAAGCCAGATAAGTTATCTTAGACATTTCTTCTTCTCTATGAAAACATATGATGTTATAAATTTCTCTTCAAGCCTTTCGCTGCCTGCCTTGCACACACTTTATGTTATGTGTTTCAATTTTATTTGATTCAATATATTTTTCTAATATCTTCTTTGAAATAATCTTGGACATGTGGGATGTTCAATAGTGTGTTGTTTACTTTTCAATTGGAATTTGTCTACATCTTTCTAATAAACTTCTCGGTTGTCAGTGAACGTATTTTGTATACAATTTCAACGCCATGTCTTATGGCCCAAACAATTTTGTCTTGACAAATTTTCTTCATGCATTTGAAAAGAATTTGTATTCTGCTCTTGCTGGGTAGAATGTTCTATGAAGGTCCATTTGATCAATTTATTTGACAGTGTTGTAGGTATTATCTATAGTTACTGATATTCTATTTACTGATAGCAGTCAGTTACTGCGGGTTAAATACTGAAATCTCTCAGTCAAATTTGAATGTATTTCTCCTTTCACGTATCAATTTTTCCTTCATTTATTTTGAAACTCATGTTTGGTTCTTGCAAGTTTAGGATAGTTATGCTCCCTTTGACAATTGATACCTTCACCTATTATCAAATGTTTACTGTTGATGTTATTAATATATTACTCCAGCTTTGTTTGATTAATGCTTGCATACTTTATCTTTTCCTTTTCCTCTATTATTAGCCTACCTGGCATCTTTATACTTAAAGCAAATTTGCCATAGACAGCCATATAAAGTTATCTATTGTTGCCTAAGAAACTACTTTAAAACTTGTGTGGTTGAAAACATTTATTGTCTCATTGGTTTTGTGGATCAGGAATTTTGGAGCTCTTTGATGGGATTTTTTTCCTCTCTCTCTCTTTGCTTAATTTTGTATTATTTTCACCGCTGTATTTTCAATAGTTCATCTTTACACCTGCTCTTCCTTATTTGTACTTAATACTAGCAAGTATATTGGCTTTTTAGATATTATGTGTTTTTCATTTTATAAGCTCAAGTTTTTAATATCCTTTATTTCTCTATTCTTGCCAACAACCCGCACTGACGAGATAAACTGGATCTAAAAGAGCTGGCTGTGACATTAAGCTAAGAAAGCAGCAAAAAAGCACAGGGCACAGAGTAATTTTTATACCGAGGGAGAGATAGCTCAGTGACCTTAGGGGTCAGCTTTCACACTGGAAAGAGCTCTGGAAAAGAGAACCTGCACTCAGAATCTCTTTATTTTTATATGGGGACTCACAAAGGAGTTTAGATAGAATGTTCTTCACCAATTAAGGCAGAGGATAAGGTTTCAAGGGTGGAATCCTGCTTCCTAGTGTCTTGTGGTCAGCAGATTGATTAACATCTTGGCAAGTCACACCCATCTCAGGTGCTGTGTGGGATCACAGGCAGAGCTAAAGAGAAGGCACACTTGCATCATACAGCCCAGCCATCGCCAGGCCTGTCCCCTCACGTGGCTACTATGTGCATAGTTCACACACACAGCCCATGGATGGCTCATGATACTATAATTTTTGTTTTACTACATCTTAATCCTAGGGGATTAAGGACATGATAATGATAATAGTTTTAATACTATCTTACTATCTTCTTTTAATTTTAATTTTACCATTTTATTTTAATTCTGTCATTTGTTGATTTTTTTTGAATGGTTTTATTGTAGCTATGGATTATATATATTGTCCTGTACATACCTGGTAATTTACATCCCCTGAGTGAATTCTAAATATTTTGCATTTATATTCTTAAGTTCCAATGATTTTATATCATGTAAAGAGTGCTGTAATTTTTTGTTTGTTTGTTTTTGTACTGAGGATTGAACCCAGAGGAGTTTTACCACTAAGCTACATGCCCAGTTCATTTTTATTTTTTCATTTTTAAAATTTTGAGACAGGGTCTTGTTTAATTGCTGACCTCAAACTTAGGATCCTCCTACTTCAGCCTTCCCAGTCACTGGAGTTACAGGTGTGCACCAAGAGACTGGCAAGAGTACTATACTTTCTAGTGACATGGACTGAGTCTTACGGGATCATCTGATGCTAGCGTTTTTTTTTTTTTTTTTTCCCCCTGTGGTGCTGGGGATTGAACCCAAGGCCTTGTGCATGCAAGGCAAGCACTCTACCAACTGAGCTACATCCCCAGCCCTGATGTTAGCTGTTAAGCATATGTTAGAACAGTCCTGAAACATCTAATTCAGCCCCAATATTAGAATGATAAGCATCTGGACTCTTCTTAATGTCCCACTATTCCCCAGATCTGTGCAGCTAGTGAACTTGGCTAATAGGTAACCGTATTATTACCAACCCTGTTTAGGCTTCAAGAATTTCTGAGGCCTGCTGCTTTTTCATGGGTCTGTCTCTAGCCTTATGTAATTTCACCACACACATGACAGTGTTGAGGATAAAGAGGCCTTCTGCAGAATTCTGCCTCTTTTATTTAAGTTCCTCCCACTAAATATTCTGCCCTTCACATTCTAAATACCATTTTCTCCCTAAACTCATCTCTGTCTCAAGTAAGCAGGATCTCTGGCTTCTGTTTGGATTACTCTCCCTGCCCTACCTTTTGGAAACTGCCTCCTTGCACTACACTAGAGAAATCAAGCAGCTTGCTTATGTGTTTGCTTTCCTTTCTTTCAGGTATAATGCCCTGTGTTGACCATTGGTCAATATTTGAAAATATCCATCATCATTAGGGATAAACATTGTTCTCTTAGAAATGCAGGGTAGAACAATTAATATTTTTAATTTCCAATTTTGAAGGTCAGAAGACGGGCAGATATTACCTTCACTGTGGCAAACGAAGTTTCCTATTTTTCATTTCTCTTTTTAGCATTATCACCATTTCATCATGAGTTTATATTTATTCAGTATTTTACTATCAATCATAGTCATATTTTTAATCATCATTGTTCCCAAATTTTCTCAATGGAAGTGTCTTCACATTTGTTTTCAATGTCCTCAAGATACATTCCACCTTCCCTAAGAGCATCCTTGCTTTGTGGCACAACAAAAAGATGACCTAATCTCAGAATTTTCCCCCAACCTGAAATGAGCTATTTGTTTTCCTTTTCATAGTAAATTGATGTTCTGTCTGGGGTTTTTGTTGTTGTTTATTTGGTTGGTTGGTGTATTAGTTGGAGTTTTGCTCTTTAATTTTTTCAGAATTTTTCATTTTAACTTTCCTGGACACAGGTAGTGTAGGAGATAATTCTGCGTTTTAGATAAAGGAAGGGTTTAGATACCCTTATTAGCTTCCTTGATTTTTTTTTTTTTTACTATGATGTAATCCAGTGTGATTTGTTTAATGTGTGATACATATTTTGGTCTGTCTTCTGATGTTTTTCTTGCTTTTTTGGGCTTCTAACCCCATTCTGCTTGTCCTGGGTGTTAATATTAGCTCATGCTACTGTCTACTAGTTATCCTGAGAGTGTGACTGTGTAAGGTTTAGATGTGCTTTATGTTGCTGTAAGCTGATTTTGGAGGATATGGCTATTAGGTGGCTGTCATGATTCTCTAAGCACTTTAGCAATTTTTCTTTGTAATCTAGAATTACATCTTTGAGATTTGTTGTTGTTTTGTTGTATTTTGCATTCTGGGGGACAAAAATGAAGACTCTCCCCACAAAGCATCATTTTTAATACTTCTGAGACTGTTTAGAATATCATCTATCACTCAATTATTCATATTTTTTGTGTGCTTGTGTATATATCTGTACACATCTCTCTCTCCCCTTGTCTTTCTCTACACACAATGTAAAAGAAGTAACCCTTGAGAAAAATACAAATGAAGAAAAGGAATGGTTAATACATATAACATTTCTTTTTCAGAATTCCATTCTTCATGTTCGTTAAGCCTTTATTCCAATTCCTAATATTTTTTACTTTATAAGAAATTCATAAATTCTTTCTTGATCAGTTCATCAAAGAGATGTTATTTGCCTGTTGTCTTCTAGGTTTATATCTAAGGATCTAGGATCTGGCCTCTTTTTCTTCCTGAAGTCCTTCTTATACATAAATACTTCATCCTAAAAATGAACCCAGATAGACTACATAGCCACATAACACCATTTACAGATTATCTTTCTGTTGGTTTTAGACAAAATGCAATTCTGCTGACATGACAGGATCATTCCATATTGTATACATGCATTGTATTATAATATGGTACACCATCAAAAGTACAAATATTGTATGTTGCTTAAATATACTTTCACTAGTCTGTTGATCCTTCCAGATGTGTTTGTTCTTTTAAAATCCACAGTCAATAATCTAATGAATCATTTTTGTAGTCTATCACAAAATTTAGGAATGAAATATAAAAAAAATTAGCTTTCCAGTAATTTTGTAATCTCATTTTGCTTTTGTAAAGTCCATGAATTATTCCAAACAGTCAACCTGCCAGTTTGATCAAACAAAGGAATGTAGATATCCTATTCCAGGATTTATAATTATTTAAGAAGAAACTTGAAAAACACAAAAATTTTAACTCAGAAGTTCTCAATGTGTATATGGACCTATCCCTAACTTGTGACTTCTCTTTGTTCAGATTCCCACTGAGAATTTTTAGTGCCTCTTATTCTGAGACCCATATTTATGATTTCTTCCATTTTCATTACAATGTAAGTTAGGAGTTAGATTTTACCATAATTCTATACCTCATTGATAATAATTGACATGTTTTTCTCTCTTTTATTTTTTGTTTTGTTTCTCATTGAAGGGCCTGTTTTATCTAACATTATTACTGCCAAATTTCATTTTTCAATCAATAATTTTAAGATTTTTTTTCATTTTGAATTATTCTACATAAATATAAATCACTGCATTGACCTTAAGGTATCTGTGTCACAATATATAATTCATATAATGATATATGTCAGCATTATGCATAAAACTTTAAATGAAATTTTAGTTCAAATATTTGAAGAGTGAGACTCTGTAAAGGCTTTATTTCATACAGATATGAAATAAATAAATATACATGTGTATATATTTTTATATATATTATATATATGAAATATTTATATCCAAAAGTAAATGTTAGTAATCTGTGCCTCTTTTCTATAGGAGAGAATGTTTAAATTTTATCAGATGAAACAGACTTTTCAAATACTGGATAAAATGAGATGCTTGCGAAAACGTTCTACAGTGTCATTCTTGGGAGTTCTTGTCATTTTCCTCCTATTTATGAATTTGTACATTGAAGATAGCTATGTTCTGGTAAGTTATAGAGGTTGATTATTTTTTGTTCAAATTAAAGCATATGTCAACCTAAATTGGCATAATTGTAAGCTAAATTGAATCCTCTGCTGGGCAGGTAGACTTAGCTTAAGCAAAATTATAATATATATATATATTTCCTACCTAGAGATTTTTTTTCTATAAATCATAATTTTTCAATATTATACTTGTTTTAACTTATGTTGCATTAATCTATTTAATACTGTATATATTGTGTTTCAAATGTGTATCTAATTACAAAGGAATTATTTATCATTATTATGCTGAGTTAATAAGGACTATAATTTGAAATATATAAAATAAAATTTGCTTCACAAGTATTATTCCTTACTTTCTCTACTTTTCTTATTGAAATTTTATTGTCTAGATAAAAATAGTATCTAATTGTGCTATTTTGTTTATGTAATATTTTGTTATAATATTTTTGTTACTTTTGGATTTTGAATAGCTCTAAATGGCCACCATTATATATATAAAGATCTCAAGTGATGAACGTATTATGTGGAAATTATTCAGTGGTTAAAAATATATGATAAAAGTCAGTATATAAGAATATACAAATTTGTTTTATGCAAAATATATAAAATAGAGAGTTTATTCTGGCTAATAGTGAGAAATCAGTTTGTATTTTTCTTATTTTACTTATGGTTATAAATGTCACATAATTTCATATCTTTTGATAATAATATGAACCTTGTTGTTTATTCAATTTTTTTCTACTAAGCCTAAGATATCTGCCATAATTTTTATTTTGTTATTACTATTTGCATATTTCAAAAAATCAAGTCCTTTGCACTCATAGGGACTAAATAGTATTGTAGCAAGAAAGATTATAACAATAATGATAAAAAGCATTCCCAATAAAATGTCTTATTGTATTGAGCATGATTCATTAATTATGTACTCTTTGCCAGATAGTATACTATATCTTATGAATCCACCATAAAATCTTAGTACAGATTCTTCTAGTAGGTTCTCTGTAAAACATCTCATATCCTTTAACTCTGTATTTTTTATAATGAAATTCTGCCAGAATCCTAACTCTTGACATTTGGCCAGATTTTTTGTCATCAAGCAAAGATCCTGATTTTTTAGACTCTTCATTCTACTATCCATGATCAATTGACAATATAGTGGAAATCACCAGAGATTGAAAGAATTTGACTAGACATCATTTATACCATAGAAAATTGAATAAACTTTCTAGTTATGTGAATTTGGGAATTTTTTTTTGTAAGGTTCATGTGATCTAGCTATATTTTCTTGATAGAATTTAAGATGATAAATTAACTAAAGAGTCTCCTAATAATGATTTAGTTTTTTAAGAAAAATTAATTGCATTTTTGTCTACTGGTAAAAGTATATCAAATTTTATAAATCAAGAACATGCTATTGATTGGAGTTTACTATATTTAATGACTTTTATGTTTATAAGAGAATTTCAAGTGCATTTCTAATCTTTCATTTCGCCATCTCCATAAGACCACTAATATTGAACATATACCACTTTTTGTAACAGAATCTCTATAAACTCATAATTTCATGTAAGAAATAATATAATATTTATCAATAATAAAAATAAAATGCTATTGCCCTGTTTTGTGAATTTTTACAGTCTACTGTAAACATTGATTCTAGCCTGCCAATGTGAAAAATAAGATTTACGGAAATAACTTTATGGAAATAGAGTACTTTTTCAGTGAAATTTCTTTGACTATATTGAGCATGTATTTAGTTATATTTACAAATTAATCCATCTGCAAAGAAGAGATATATTTCTCAGATTTGAAAATGATTATCAAAATCAAAACAGAAAGATAATTTTTAAATATTTATGTTAAGTCAGAAACAGTGAACAATGAATTAATTGTGATCTTTAAATATCAGCACCCCTCCTTATTATAAATTCAATGATAACATTTTTGTTATTTAATTTTTTAGTTTCTCATATGATTTCTAAGTAAATTTCATTTTGAGCTGGCTTAATAAATATTTGAAACATCCAATCACTAATATTAAATTTCATTAAAGATAGTCTTCTGAAAATGTATAATATCTATGGAAATCTGACTACTTTCAAAAATATACTGCGGTTCTTTTTAAATACTTTTTTCTTTTGACTTTTTCATCTGAGTTTCATTTTTAATATGCTAGCCTTGACCTCATGATTCTATAATGATACCATTTCCTAAGCATAGATTTTAGGAGGTCTTTTTTTATTATTATTATTATTATTATTATTATTATTATTATTATCATCATCTCCTTTTTATTGCTGGAAAACAATTCTTACAATTCAGAGGAATCAAATGAAGAGTTAGAAGTAGTAAGGTCGCTGGAGTTACTCAGCACATTCTACTCTGCTCTTTTTGCTAGAAAATCCAGCTGTGGACTGAAATCCTAGGAGTATTAACAGTTTAGTATATTAGCTTATGTATTGGAGACATATGACTTTCAGTGGGAAAGGAAGCTGAGCTCAGTGGAAGAGACAAATACTATTACAAGTCAAGCTAAGTAGAAGAGAAGCTGCATGCCCAATCAACTTAGCCTCTTGGCTGTGAGCATCTTCAAAGTAGCCACTAGGGTATATATTTAGTCTGTAGCTAGTCCATTGAATTTCATTCCCATCCAGAAAATGATTGTCATAAAACTTTGTCTTATTACTGAGAAACACACTATAGCATAGTAACTACAGAAAGAAGGTATCCAGGGACAGCCTGGCTGTTCAGTTAGATGCCTCTGGAAGCAACCAACAAGGCTGACTCAGGTGAAAGGTGCATTATTTATTTATGCTGAAAAGTGTAAAGAAGGTTGTACTTGAGAATTTAATTAAGTACTTTCATATCAGTTCCATTGCATTTTATATTCTGTTATGTCCTTCAATCAAAATGAATGTATTCCATCTTATCACAGAAAAGGCTGAGATTTTTACACGTTCAGGACAGAATTCTTAAAGAGATATTAAATCCTGCAGTTTCTTTAGAATGTAACATCTCATAAGAACAAAATGATGATGTGAATTCAGTACTGTGACTACTGTGATTTTTATAGAAATTTCTTCTACACCCTATGGATTATATACACTGTTACATTGCTATTAAAGCAGTTTATACTAAAGTGAGTCCATAGATACTTCTTGGCCACTTTTAATTTTGTTTATTTTAGTCTAAGGATTTTCATAGGTTTGCTTATGGATATGTGAAAATATTTGTGTGTAAATAATTTAAAATGATCATAGATCAATGGGTGTTGAATTGATTGTTTAGCACCTAAGGTTTAATTTCAGGTATTTTGAAAGTCTATAGCTTTTGTAGATGGCAAATCCATTATAAATCTTTTAAAGATCAAGTGTTTTCTTTATCCAAATTATCAAGGCAATATAAGATATAAAAATGCAGTATGAAAGACCAAATGTAGATTCACAACATAATTGGATATACAGAGAATATATTTAGAATGAATATTGATTTAATAAGGTCCATATAAAAAGACCTTTTAACTCTCTAGTCATACTTTATTATCTTTAATTTTTATTCCAAGGAAAGTCCAGTCTGGCCAGACTTAAAATGTGAGCTAATCATCTTTTTCACATTTCAGTTTGAGACAAAGTATTGAATGTTCTCATCAAGGTAAAACTTGTATTTGAATCTTGTCCAATCTTTTAGAACAGAGGTTTAATTAAAGTTTTATTGACCACAGACAGGTAATATCAAGACTGAAGTTATTTAATGCATTGACTTTCTCTGTTTGATGACTTATACATGATTGGCCTTACATCCTGTACTGAGTATTAGAAATAGATCCATAAAATGACACACCTTACCAGAAAAAATTCTCCTTAATTAGGTTGCCCCAAAACATATATTAATAAACCATATACCCAAGCCAAACAAGTCATTGTTTTGCTAATAATGTATAATCAATAAAGACTGATCAACTATGAGTTAAGTAATCAATATTTGCCATTGAACTTTTACCAAAGAAATGGAGGCAATTAATGGATAACAAGACATATTTTAAACTGAAAGTCAATCAATATTTTCATACACTTAAGCCTTTCTGAAGATTTAATAAAATGTAGTCCACTACCATGTGTAAAAATGATCTTAAATATTGAAAAAGCACACTAACAGAATACCACACAATAACACATGTGCCCTCCCCCCCACACAAGCAAAATTATCATAAGACCAGTATAAGGTTTGAACACAAATTCTTGACTTGGTAAAAATGTGTTCTCATTGAGGTTAATTAAAGACAATTGAAAAAATTTAAAAAAACACTACTATATCATGAGGACTTCAGTGGGCTGTTCTCAACATCTTTTAATTAATTGCATATAAGCAACTTATTAAAACTCCTTACTTAATAAATTATGCAAAATCCAATGGTTGTGTCTACATTTGCATCTTCCTAATTATTCCTAAGGTTTTACAATCATAGACATTATATGTGGTCTTTAATTTGAGATTGTTTAAGAAAGAATATTTTACAGGATGGTATAGGAGACAAGAAAAAAATCAATTTATTATGACTCAAATATGGGAAATTCTGTGGTAACTGGCCTCAGATGAAACTAAAATAGATTACCGTTTAATTTTTAGATTGGTGATTATTATAAAAATTTTGAATTCTAACATGAAGGTACTTGGAATTTTCTTTTCTTTTTTAAAAATATTTTTTAGTTGTAGATGGATACAATATCTTTAATTTTAGTTTTTTATTTTTATGTGGTGCTGGGGACTGAACCCAGGGCCTCGCACATGCAAAGCAAGTGCTCTACCGCTGAGCTACAACCCCAACCCGGCACTGGAAATTTTCATGTAGATACTTGCTTATCAAGAAAATACCATCATTTTTGTGTACACTGTAGAGAAGCAAATGAACTGTAATATAAAGAATGGAATAGAGGAGAGAGAAAGTGAAACAAAGGCTGTAGGTAGGAAATTAGGAGAGTGATGGTGGTCTTCAGCCTCTGAGTCCAGTGATTGAGATTTTTCTAATGTTCAATGTTGTTGATAGTACCCATATCTTCATGGTGTAAGGAGAAAATTTAATACATGACCCTCTATATTATTTATTTTCCTTGCCTCTTCCTTGACATTTAGGAGGGTGACAAACAGCTCATAAGGGAAACATCCACACATCAACTAAATTCAGAGCGCTATGTTCATACTTTCAAGGATTTATCTAATTTCTCAGGGGCCATAAATGTCACCTATCGCTACCTAGCTGCCACACCTTTACAAAGAAAACGTAAGTATCCTTAAACTTTTAAATTAAAGAATACATAAAATACTTTGTGAAAAATAATGTTTCATTTGCATAGCAATAGATTTTTGAGATTTATTGATTTAATATATACTTTGATAAGAACTTCAGTGTATCCCAACTTGTAATTCTGTCATTGACCAAATTCCACTAATAATGAAAAAGTTGTGTCTAATTTTAATATGAATTTTTTGGCAGTCTGATACAGGATGGTATATGACACAAGGAAAAGATGACTTACTTTAAATTTTTTAAGTTAACTTTAAAAATTAACTATTTCTGTGTTGTTCTATTTTCAGATTTTCATAGTTTAGTTTTATCACTTGCCACGAGTTTGAATTACCTTTTAAACTACAAACTGGGTGGCTTAAAAAACAACAAATTATTATTTCATGGTTCTGGAGGCTAGAAGTTGAAATCAGTTTACTGGAAGACTCACAGTCCCTCGGCCCACTCTAAGGAAAAATCTGTCAGCTACATGGCAAGCTGAGGTTCATGTGTATAAAAACAAAGAAATTTTTGAGGTTTATCAATATGAGGATGATCACCTGGAGGGGGAGGGACAAATTATAGCCATCTAAAATAAGTGTTCACTAAAAGTGGCATGTGAAGGGTGTGGGATTTTAATGATGAAAAAGAACAAAGGAGGAGGTTATAGCCCCCATTGATGGTTATTGTTACATTGGTTGGCAATAACAACATAACATTTGATTGTTAATTAGTCACTGATATTATACATTCCATATAAGAACTATAATAAGAAATAAAAGGTTTTCATTGTGGTTATTTATTGTTTTTATGGAGTCAGAGAGTTTGCAGAAGTTTGCCACTCTGGGTCTGAATGACCTGACTATCATCTCTTGCATCATGTTTCCCTGTGCTAAAGAATTCTGTGTGTGACATTTTGAATTATTTCTCAAATCCTTCTTTGGTTCTTCCATCTTGTGGTGGCCCCTGGCATTATATTTCTTGTGGCAATGATAATTCCTGCCTCCATTATCATTGGCCTCCTTCCTTTATTCTCTCTGTATCCTCTCCTCTTCTTATAATGATATCAGTTACTGAATTCAGGGCATAACCCTACATGTGAGATTAGTACATCTCAAGATTTATAATTAATAATATCTGTACATATCCTTTTTCCCAATAAGGTCACATTCTCAGGTTTTATGTAGACATGAATTCTTAAAGTAAACTTTTCATCCCTCTGTAGTATGAGAAAAAATATTTGAAATTAAGTAATTATATACTATATTTTCATAGATTCTAAGACATCATCATTTATACAAAGTACCTTATCCGATGGTGTAACATTAATGTATCTGATTAATAGACCACTGTAAACATAAGCATTATCAATTTTATATATATATGTGTATATATATATGTGTATATATAAGTATATATGTATATATATATATATATATGTATATACTGTTAGTTGTAGTCAGACACAATACCTTTATTTTATTTATTTACTTTTATGTGCTGTTGAAGATCAAACCCAGCACTTTGCACATGCTCGGCAAGCACTCTACTGCTGAGCCACAACCCCAGCCCCAGCATTATCAATTTTAACAATGAGACACCATCAATTGTAATTTGCAACTTACTATTTAAATGTTTTGGTGTGAAAAAAATAGAAATTTAAAATCAATGAAACACAGTGACATCATGACATTTTAATAGATTATATGGACACCACAAAAAATTTTGTTCCCCTTTTAAGAACTTTTTTATGCAAGGGAGTTTGTGATAATCAACTTGAGGAAATTGGTAAGTTAATTTAGGTTTAATTTAGAGTTCTTTTCAATTCTCCAGTTCAAATGTCTAGTCTTCTTCAGCTTTCATTTAACTGCCCAAGACTGCCATGATTCTTTTATCCCCATGTGTCACACCACCTCTGTCTAAGCTTTACCAATTCCCCTTTTCCGTGTTTAATTTACTAATGACTATTTGCACAAATACCACCTGCTTTGTACTAAAGAGGCAATATAACAGAGCATAAGAGAGGGGCAGTTGAATCCTGACATCACGCCACTTACTAAGTGTAACTACAGTTTGAATGAGCTGCCTCATCACACAGGTCCTGATTTCCTTTATGTAAAGCATCTTGATGGCAATAACTACCCTGTCCCAAAAGACTGCTGTGAACACTGAAGATGCATAATGAAGTTAAAGGTGCATAGACTCCTGCTTCTGACGTACAAAATCTTTCCTAAGTGTTGGCTAGTATTGGATCTTAATCAAATGTGGTGACTTAAAGTTTAATAATGATATCGTGTGACATATATGTTTCAGTAGAAGTCAGAGTTTTAAGCTCATGTATTTACACAAAATGTGTAAGTCTCAACTTCTAAAATAGACTAATAAGAAAGGTCTAACCTGGAAGAGGTTTTTTGTTTTTTGGTTTTTTTTTTTTTCGTTTGTTTGCTTGTTTTTAGTATTGTAGAAAATCAATGATTTTGGTGCATATTAACATTTCCTCATTTTGCAAATGGTAATTCAAAAATTTTATTCACTGAGTTATGTGAGAATGAGTTCTTTAAAAAGTGAAAATATTTCAATAGAAAGACATGTAACACTTCTTAGAGGTGACCTGTTTTTCTCGGAGTTTTTTTTTTAATTCCTAAAAATATCCTGTCTCTACTTCTAGATTTTAAATGTCTGAATGACGTTGTTTAATCAAAATTTCTATAATTTGTGTCTCAAAATTAAGAAAACAATAATGTTCACATCTTGGAACAATGTGCCATACAGTTGAGCGTTGATAAGTTTTTCAAATATATCATATGATATTGCTTATTTTCTAATTAACCTTCTATGTAAATTTCAAAATAACAATGTGAAGTTTACTTATGAATTCTTCTAGTGTAAGAAAATGATCAAAGTGAAAATATGTGACAGGCCCTGTGAAAAATTTAAAGTCGATTAAAATAATGTGCTGCTCTTATTTTTCTTTTCTACTTGAGACTACTTTATGAGTCTCAATTGTGAATTCTATTTCTTTTTTTGTAGATTTTTGAAAATATAATTTGTATATTAGGTAAACATTTCTCTTCTCTAATGGGCACATGTGAGAACATTAAGCTTTAGAACACTTTAAACCTTTCTTTTGAATTTCATAAACAAGTGATCAAGACTGTAGGGCCCATATATCATTATTCTTAAGATGCATTTATTTTCAGTGGAAAATATCAAAGAAATACTATAGGCAAATATTTTCTCCTTTTTTTTCTGTTATTCAGAACTCTTTTCACATATGTCTTTCTTCTGAATTCTTTTGTTTAGGGTATCTTACCATTGGACTTTCATCAGTGAAACGAAAAAAAGGCAACTATTTACTTGAGACAATCAAGTCAATTTTTGAGCAATCCAGCTATGAAGAGCTGAAGGAAATTTCAGTAGTAGTCCATCTGGCGGACTTTAATTCATCCTGGCGTGATGTCATGGTCCAGGATATTACACAAAAGTTTGCCCATCATATCATTGCAGGAAGATTAATGGTTATACATGCTCCTGAAGAATATTACCCAATCTTGGATGGTCTTAAAAGAAATTACAATGATCCAGAAGATAGAGTCAAATTTCGTTCCAAGCAAAATGTAGATTATGCTTTTCTGCTTAATTTTTGTGCCAATACTTCATATTATTATGTAATGCTTGAAGATGATGTCCGATGTTCCAAAAATTTCTTAACTGCCATCAAGAAAGTCATTGCATCCTTAGAAGGAACTTACTGGGTAACTCTTGAGTTCTCTAAGCTTGGCTACATTGGTAAACTTTATCATTCTCATGATCTCCCACGTTTGGCACATTTTTTATTAATGTTTTATCAAGAAATGCCTTGTGATTGGCTGTTGACTCATTTTAGAGGTCTGTTGGCTCAGAAAAATGTGATCCGGTTTAAACCATCTCTCTTTCAGCACATGGGTTATTATTCCTCATATAAAGGAACTGAGAATAAGCTGAAGGATGATGATTTTGAAGAGGACTCATTTGACATTCCTGATAACCCCCCTGCAAGTCTGTACACCAACATGAATGTGTTTGAAAATTATGAAGCAAGCAAAGCTTACAGTATTGTTGATGAGTACTTTTGGGGAAAACCACCTTCAACAGGAGATATCTTTCTTATTGTTTTTGAAAATCCAACTATAATAAAAAAAATTAAAGTGAATACGGGGACAGAAGATCGGCAAAATGACATTTTGCATCATGGAGTCCTTGATGTTGGGGAAAAAGTTATACTTACCAAACAAATAAAACGTTGTGATTCGTACTTAAGACTAGGAGAATTCAAAAATGGAAACTTTGAGATGTCAGATGTGAATCAAAAAATTCCATTTGATATACACTGTATGAGGATATGTGTCACCAAAACACAAAAGGAGTGGCTGATTATTAGAAGCATTAGCATTTGGACTTCTTAGCCAATTAAATCAGTATGTTCATTTGCTGAAACAGATCTTTCTGTTTCCTTTTTTGCTAACTTCCTGTTTTGCTACTTTTATCTGTTGGGAGGAAAGCAATGGATGTGTATGTTAAAAGAAAAGTCCATTAGTTTTGATTTACACATTGTCAATACAATTTTACTCTACACATTTGTGTTTATTTTTACTTTTGAAGTTAAATATCATCCCATGGTAGACTCTACTTTCATTTATACTTTTAGATGTTCTTAGTGTCACAATTGCAATTGTCTAACGAGTCCATATGAAAGCTATAAAATAAGAACTTTTGTTGGTTGGATGATAATTCTTGAAAAATAGTTGCCAACTATATGTACTTATTCAAGAAGTGATAATTTCTTGTATCAGATAGATTTTTATTAAGTATCTCTATGAATATGCAGTTGGCTACAATTATAATCTGTTTTATTTTTCTTATGAATTTAGGTTTTCATTTACTTCTGTGCATCTGCAGTGAATACCTTCACATAGAAGTGGTGTCTTTACAACATATTTTTTATTTGTAAGTAGGGCTATGGGAAAAATAATTTAAAATATCTTTCCCCTAATTATTTATATGAAAGGGAACCTTGATCATTGTTTAAAACATTTAATTGAACATTTATTATTAATAAATTTTCTGTGGGATAAAGTCTTTTTCTAGTTTCCCTTTTACAAAAAATTTTAAAAAGAACAATTAAACCCAATATTTTCAGGTAACATGGGGCCCCTGCATTTAATAGGAAAAAAAAGAGAGAGAAGGCCAATAGTTCATTCATAAAGATATTTTCAGTATATACAGAAAATATTTGAAATTGATTTTATACGTTTTATATTAAAATTTGTGTGACTGAAATTATTGTAATTTATCATATAATTTTTTTGGAGTTTAAATGGTTATCTTATAAAGGATAAAAGTGAGAATCACAGAAATTAGCTGATATTTCTATACTCAGTGAGCTATTTCTTAACAAAGCCAGAATGAGAGATCTGCTCTTCTGATAATCAGACAATGCTCTGTCTCTTGTATGGAGATTGCTTCTCACAAGTTATGCTTTCTCTTCTCTGCTATGTAGTTCTCAGATAATAAGCTATGCCTTCTGGAAACAGCTGGTTTATTTTTTCCATAAAGCATACTATTATGCTGTGGAATAATCCTGAAGGGTCCTAATGGATGACTTTGTGGTATTTGCACTCAAATAGTAAATAAACGTCTCAATTTTTACTAGTAGGGACTAGACAGTTGTGTCCTTCAAACAACTTAGGACACCCTAGTATATCCTGAAAACCTAATGTTCTCAGAATATCCTGAGCTTGTCTCATCCTTCTTATTTCTTGATGAACAGTAAAGATGAAAGATTCATTATGAAGAGAAATACAGGGTACTTCACATGTGTTTGTGGAAAAATTCAAATCCAGTTTGTATAGCCTATATGTGTATGTATACATGTGTACATATGAAAACTAGACTTGGGATAGTAAGAAGAAATGGGGAAATCTTTCTGTTCTTCCATCTATCCTGAAATACAGTCCTTGGATTTACTGGTATGATATAATTAAAAAAAGATTAGAATTTTTAAAATTTTTTTCATTCTATCCAAATCAATTAAATTAGAAACTCATTTGAAAAATTAAGAAATTTTGTTCCTTTCTTCACATCTTAGCTGTATGTATTTTCTTTGTACCAAGTTACTATAATGTTAGGTAGAGAAATCATTATCCTTTAAGAAGACAGTAAATATTAATATTTTATGGCACATCTGAATCTGAAGCTCATAGGAAAATACTAGCACAACTATTTAAACTTATCTTTACCTTGATTTGGAGATTACTTGCCAGACACTTAGGATTCTGTTTTCCTGATTTTTTTTCATTCTCTTTTATTGACTCACTAACTGTATACTAATGTACATGTTTCTCAGAATTTTCAAATAACACTTTTTCCTGAACTTCAGTGATAAATTTGCACAACTGTGTTACATAAACTATGAAGCCCTAAACAGACTTCATGAAATGAACTCTAACTTTCATATATTCTTTTGAGAGTGTGTTTCCAAAGACCAGCTATTGGCATATATCAAGTTTTGGAAAATACTTCAGGAAGGACTTCTGAGGGTTGTAGGGAAGTCAGATGTTTACCAGAGAATTATAAAAGCAAATGTGAGCCAAAGAAGTCACATTGCATCCTAAGATCCTTTCATTACTAAAACTGAAATTGGATAACTTGTCTGATCACCTGAAGCTGTCTGTATATTTTCTTTGAAAATTGATGTGTGTGAAATAACCTGAAGAAAAGACTGAGGTTGACAAGAACTGCTTCTTCATTAAAGATAAAGTAACCACCCTCCTTCAAAAGAAAAAATTTTGAAAAATGTTTGTTTTTGACATTTCTGACAAAACATTATTTACATGATCCAATGTTGCATTTCCTATATTTAAAAACTCTGAATAAGACCGTAGGCACTTTGTCTCAGAGGCTTAGAGTCCAAAATACAATTATTAGGTTTATACCTAATAATCTGTTATAATGTATTATGTGATCTCTCTCTTCACAGTTTATATATATATATATATATATATATATATGTTTTATATATGTAAATGCATATGTGTATATTATATTTGCACATATGTACTTTATTTTCTTTATTACAATATATCAATTGAAAAGAATTGGGATAGATCTAAATAGCTGAGTCATGAAAAGATACCGGCAGATTTCAAGCACAAAAAAAAATACATATACATTAAATAATGTCTCAGATTATAGAAGATTAAGCTGATGATCCAAAAGCTTATGTACACTTAAAATTCTCCTGAAGGAAACTTTTCCAACATTTATGTACATTAGAGTAAAACATTTGGTAAATAGCACAATAAGATTTGAAAAATATGCATTTTTAGAAAAATAAACATTTTAACAGCAGTAACAAGTGTGAATATAAAACCATACACTAAGAATTGTTAATATAAACACTTCTACATTGTTGTTAAAAATCATAGTCTTGGGTAACTTATAAAGTAGATATTTTTCATATATAAAAATGTAGTTTAGAAACCATTGTGTCATTTACATGCATTTCTGTCATATGGCTGCACTTACGAAACATGAACACACAATTCCTTATTGGCCAAATTCTTTGAGATTTTTCTGATTTGTCATAGAAAAATTGTGCCATATAATAGTGGTGTATAAATGAAGCAACATTTGCAAATTATTGTATATGCTGTGGGAGGGAGAGCACTGTTTTATATACCCATGGCAAACTTCATTCAATATTTGCCAGTTCCCTTTAGACTATGGCACCAGGATTAACACTGAAAATACTACATTCAATTACCTCTAACCAATGAGACAGTGTAATTCTTTCTGTCACCTTCCCAATACATCCATTAATATGATAAAATATTGTTTTTTAGTACCATATTTGGTAATGGCCCACAGTCAAACTTTATGGTATTTATTACATCGTTTACTGATTAAAAATTATTTACCATTCAGAACATGTTCATTTTGACATTGAAGTTTTTAAGATAATATTAATTTAAAGAGAATTTTGTAATATTTCTTTTGACCCATGATTCCACACTTTCCAGATCTGGATTCTGTCATCCAGTGTCTTATCAGAGCTTCCCAACTTTGTGATTTCCCAACTTTGATCTGTATTGCCTTTGGTCTTCATAGGAGATACAGCTGACCATTCCTACAGGCCTGAGCTTAAAAGCCAGTTCTGCAATTACTAGCTTCCAGGTATGAAGAGGAAGGCTATTTTACTTCTTTGAAACTCAGTTCCCACTTCTGTAAAATAGGAAAAAATTAACCTTATAAGATTTTAAAAGGTAGCAATTTTGCCTTGTGGCTCTGTGTGGTGCTCGAAATTAGATACCATAAATTGAGCACAAACAATAAGCATATATTTCCCTTTTATCTGTGTGATGTGTATGTAAAAGGATATGGCTCTGAAAAGCAACCAGAGATTATTGATCACCATCCTAAATCAATAGATATCCTACTCTTGTCATTCTGATCTATTACTTTAGAAATGATAAAAATATCACATGTATCCATAGTTTTCCATTTAAATATTAATGATCACTTTTGATGAAAATCTAAATACACTTAGTTCAAAAATTAAAGAGTTCTCTGATTGCTAAAATTTTGCTCAGAATCATTAAGTTCACAGAGATTCAGTTTTCAGAACCATTTCACTTTTTAAGGAAAGTGTAACTTCTTGCTTTTTGGCATCTTTTTTAATAATTGCAAAAGTTATCACTGTAATAACTAATAAATTACCTGGGCAATGATGTTCAAACTTGAAAACAGGCAGCTTATCTCTTGATCTGCCTTGGGTTTCAATATTTAGCTCCCACTTCTTCAAATTTTTTCTCTGCTAAATTTGGGATTATTCTCGTCAGGAGGGAAAAGGCTGTAAAAAACACACTTTAATAAGATTTTGTTCTTTGCTTTTGTTTGCTTTTAACATTTTTTATCTACTCTAAACAAAAAAAAATCTCTATTATTGTTGTTTATATACACTGAAATCATTGATCTCCTCTGTATGTTCATATATGTGCAATATGTGCATATGGGCATATATTTCCATTTTTGCATATATTTGTAAACTTTATATATGCATTTATGTGTATATATGCAAATATATGTATACATACACACACACACATACATACATACATGCACACACACACACTCAGAAAGTAAGAGAGAAGTTCATTCTTAGAATTATTATCAGCACCCACCCCTTAGTTTATTCTTGGCTTTAATTTTTCTATCACATTCTTGGTTTAGATCCTCATTCTGAACTCATTTTTGGTTATGTGTCCTCATGTATTTCACAAACATGATATCTTTTGAAAATCAACACTCTACAAACTTTTATGCAGCCTTTTAGTTTCTTTATATCACTTTTAAATATGTTCATTTTCTGCCATACTTAATATACATACTTATATATTATTATTCCACATTATTTACTTACCTTATCAATAAGCAAAAATACTATTTCAAAAAGCTAAAAGAATTGTCTTGTGTCCTTTATTATTGTCCAACCTTTAAAAACTCATTATCATTTTTTTATTAGAGAATCCCTTCTTGCTCAGAAGAGGTTTTACCTTTCAGAATTTCAAGTTTATTTTTATTTTATGTGTATTCCTTAAAATAAAAGGTCAAAACATGAGTTATAAGGCATTCTCTTTCTAAATTATCAATATATTAAGATAATAAGCTCATATTTTCTCAGAATTCTAGTCCCCTCCATTTCACTAATCTGTTCATCATGGTTGCCTAGGACCAGAAGAGAACAAACACATCATTAATCCCAGAGTCTTCCAAGATTTTTTAATTTTTATGTTTTTATAAAACTGAAATTGAAATATAGATTTGAGACCATTTTCTAGATAATTAGATCTGAATATCTATTCTGAAAAACATATTTGAAAACAGTAATTTTTATTTGAATTATTGCTTCAGCTTTACATTTTGCAGCTTGAATACTCTCTTAGAAGACTTACCTATAAGTTAAATACATTGCCTAAGAAAATGACATGCCCATTTTACTTGCTCTTAGAAAATTACACCACATTAAGAATATAATGTGCAGATTTTCATTTCTTATTGGATTGAAAAGTATACCCTTGGTGGCCATATTTTTTAATATATAAGCCAAAGATGTACTAATAAGATTCTCAATATTTTTGCTATTAAATGAAAATTTCCATGAAGCACACACTCATTGATGTAGTATGTAGGAAAGAATCACTTTATTTCATGATTATTTATGACTGAAAAATGACAGTGAAGGACAAATATCCAGAAAAATTTAATAATTTTAATATCTTATGCTACTATTATTTTTTATTTGTTCTCTTTAGATATACATGACAGTAGAGTGTATTTTGACATATTATACATACACTAATATAACTTCTTCTCATTAGGATCCCATTCTTGTGGTTGTACATGATGTGGGGTTTCATTGGCAATATAGTCATATATGAACATGGGAAAGTTATGTCCAATTGAAGTACAATAGCCAGTGTGGCTTATAACCATTTTACTCACAGGCAATTATAATTTGGATATTATACAAATCATAAAAAAACATCAAGGTATAAGTGAAGCAATAGAATGTGAGATCACTCATTATTGGAAGCTACTATAAAAATATTTAAAATATTTAATTTATGGTATAATAAAAGTGCTGGAAGAGATATAGAGAATTTTCCTCTTCTACTATTTTACTCACTTTACTATCTGTCATTAAGATACCTAATGTGCTGCACAGAGATATATGGCAATGCCATTTTCAATCACCATGTTTTGAGCTCTATTACAAACCAGACATTTAAAATATACTTTTATCATAACTTCATCTCAGTCAATTTTCTCATTGAAGAATAATCTATTATTTTCTATAAAATGTCTCCAAAATATTAAAAAAAAACATTTAATGTATACTCTCTCCATAAAATACACATCAACTTAACTATTTAACATAAGTACTATTTTCCCATCTTTATAAAGACTTTTATAGTTTCCGATCACTTTTAAATGTATTCATTTTTTGATATACTTAATATACTTAAATACTTGAACATTATTATTTGACATTGTTTAACTTATCTTACCAATGAATGAAAATATGGTTTCAAAAAGTTAATTATCTTGTGTCCTTTATTATAGTCCATCCTTTACAGCAAATCTGCTTTGAATACAAATTACACCTGCAATCTAACAATTCTATGCTATTGTTCATTAGTGGACCATATGAGATGGTATCAATAGTTGGTAGGAGTTCCTCATTAGTGGTGAAAATAAACTCAATAATATACAACTACAACTTACACTTAAACACCAAATATTACTGAAAGATATTGAAGGTTTATAACTTTATTTCATATCACATATATTCTTGAATGATAAATACTTTTCTACAAATGGCCATATTATAAGAGAAGAATAACATATAAGGGAATAAACCCCCTGAAAAGTCATTCCCTTCACTCAGAAATTATCATTAGACAGCTATTTTTCAAAAGGGCAAAGAATCTGTGCTGATAGAATAAATAAAACATTTTCCCTAAATGAAAAGATCTATAATCTTAGTGTAAGCTGTTTTTTGGGGGGGTGGGGGAATCTGTCATATAAAGGCATTTTTAACTTTCCTTTTGTTTTTTGAAATTTTTTAGTGCTAGGGATCAGACCTGGAATCTCAGGCTTGTTAACCATGAGCTTAACAACTGAGTTTCCATTTTGCTGTTTGAAAACTTTCTCAGTGGACTTATTCATAAATTAAGTACACTATTTAATTCTTCAGTGTTAGCTTTGATTTTTTAACATTTCCTAAACTCCCAATCTCATGTAATTGGACACAAACATTTTTTTTGCATGTGGTACATTTACCCATTATATTGATAATCAATTGTCATTAATATCCTTAAAACTTATTTAAATGAAACAATTATTTTTGATGAAACTTTTGGTAAATTCATCATTAATTGTAAAAAATATTTCCAAGATTTAATGGTATATATGAAAGCATTTATAATGTAAGAGTTGTGGATATGTTCAACCATGTCCATAAGCCAGATTAAGTAGATACATGTACACACACATATATCTACCTTCTTAACTTTCTGTTGATTTACAGTAGCCAATCTTAAAGTAGGCAAGAAAAATCTACTCAAAATATTCCCAACAACTTATTGATCCTTTAACTATGGCTGTTGATGATGTACTCCTTTCAAATGTTGTGTAAGGAGAGTTTGCTGAGCATATAGGGAATGTAAAAGTAACAGGAGATTTGTTACATATAAAGGTGAACGTGTGTGCAGGGTAAACCTTGTCTTCATGATTTTGCCTAGAGCAAGTTACCTTTCTTGTCAATATTACAAATTATTATGGTTCAACTTTTTAGTCTTTAGAATCCTCCAAATTGTCATTCAAGCAAATCAATATTCGATTCTGTGAGAATGTCAAAAAATAATTTAGGAGTCAATCTAGTGTTTTTACTACCATGATCAAATATGCCAAGCTTACTCTTAAAGAAGTCAAATTCCAGAGTAGAACTGAAGCTCTATTTTACTGCCTTCTCACTAAATGGATAAACTTTAAATGCCACACAATGAATTGTACTAAGTTGTTTGAACTGATTAGAGCATTGATGAATCTGAGTCAGGTATTTGTTACTAGTCTGACACAAAATATAGGTTCCCTTCTAGTTAAAACAACCTAAATTGATCATTTTGGGGGAAGTAACAGTGAATATTGTAACTTTCTTTTTTCTAACAAGTTTCCCAACTGACCAAACTTTTAATGTTGATAAAACTCTCCATTATCAATCAGCATATCACCAAATAAGCAGGTGCTTAATAAGTAGTGTTGATCTGACATAATACTAAAAATAGCTACCACAAATACTATTTTGCTTTATAAGAAAAAATAGCAATTGTTATTTTGATAATATCAATTTTATTTATATGAACATTTATTTTTTTTACTCTAAATGTGAGTTTTGTTAATATAAAAATTTCTTACAAATATACAAAACCACTCTTCTGATTTGCATTAAATAATAACAATTATTACAATGAAATTGACATTAATATTAATTTTTTTAAGTCACAAATGAAGCAGTAGCTAAAAAAAACAACAGTCCCTTAGCTACTGCTTTATTTTATTTAAATTTCACAAATATATGATTAATTTGGTGTTTTTATCCATCCATGTGTGAGAAGTCACAAAGAGTTACAAAAGCACATATTTATTAAGTCAGGAAATCAACTCTATATACTATGGTAGCATTCCAGAATAGTTAATTTATTGATACTGCCATATAAATTATTATATAAAGCATTGATCATTTTTATTTAAAATTTTAAAATGCTTAAAATTTCTCCATTTGTTTCAAAGCAAACTGAATGACAAAAACAGTGGGAATTTGGAATAGTCACATCACAATACATTTAATTAGTACTGCACTGGCTTTCTTCATAATATGTTTAGGAAAGATAATTTATTAAAATGAGTATCTGCAAGGAAAGTAATTATTTCCAAGCAGACTTAAAATGAACAAAAATATGTGATAGTTACAGATGGAATATAACAATGAGGCATTCACAGGTTTTGAAGAAGTGTAAGAGGAATTTTAAACAGTGAATGTAAAATATTGGTGAGGAGCATAGGTTTTAATTCTGCAGATCTGAAAATCCATATAGCTATGGTATAGTATTCTGGAAGATAAGACTGTATTAAAGTAATATAAAAATGAATATTAGTTTAAATAATTTATAATTTCTTCACGTGAAACTATTTTTTTTCTAATTTTTACAAACCTGTGCATCGAATATACTTTTTACTACAATTTATTTCATCCATAATCTAATTTCATTTATTCTAGAAAAAAAAAA